CGCAAACATCATGTCATGTCAGGAACCTTAGGAGGGATGGGATTTATCTCAGCCGTAGAAAATCGATGAAACTTTTGTCACGTCTGTGTGCAATTTTGGCTTCTTTTCCCGCGATGCATTCCCAGTGCACGCGCAAGTCCAGGCAACGAGCAATCGAGAAGTAATTGTCGGCCGCGGTCCTCTTTCGGTCCGCGACCTGATTGCAGGCCTTCCGGAAACTGGCGCCTTTTGCGCGTGTCTTCCAAGTCCATCGGCTGATTTTTTTGCGAAGCCAGCGCCAGAACATCTCTATTCGGTTCATGTTGGGGCCTTGGGAAGCCGCTCTACAGGTCAAGGGTGTTCGGCCTGTAAGACGCCATGCTGATTGTGGCTCTCAGAAATTCTTGGTTGTCGCAGAGGATGTTCTATGGGCCTTTCTTCTCTTGGGGTTCACCGCCGTGTATTCTCTCGGTTCGTCTTCTTGCTGTCTGGATTCTACAGGTCTGCGGCGAGGGCGTCCCGGGACGCTCCACTCCGTAGAGGAATCGATCTCGATAGCGGCCTTGAGCTCAAACGGCGGCTGAGCCGACTGAGGTGTCGACGCGCGTGCGTCGTCCTCAACAACGCCGCCTTTTCGCCATGTCGGCGCGCCCCGCGCACGCTATGTGGCCCCATAAGGAGCCCCACCGAAGGCCCCAGTGGCTGCGGTTGCATGCCGCCAGCTAACCATGTCGGCGCGCCCTCATTGTTTCGCGGTCTCAGAGGGAGTTCCACCGAAGGCCCCAGCGGCCGCAGTCGCATGCCGCCACCTCGCAATTTCGGCCTTTCTACAAGGTGCCCCACCAACGAGCCCAGTGGCCAGTGTCGCACAGTCATCGCCATCGCCAGCATTGCCATGACAGGCATCATCATAAGCGCCGTCATCATCGTCTTCATCGCCATTGTCATTGACGTGACTTCGGGCACTGGTCGGATGAACCCATGAAAGAAGGGACGGGCTGCTATTTCCCCCATGCAATTTTGGCCCCCCTTCCCGCGATGCATTCCCGGTGCTCGCAAAAATCCAGGCAACGAACCATCGAGACCTAATTGTCGGCCGCGGGCCCATTTCGGTCCGCGACATGCTTGCAGGCCTTTCAGGACCTGCCTGTTGTTTTTCCGCCACCGTCAAGGCCTTGGCCGATTTCGAGTCTCCTTGACCCTGGCATTGTAGGCGGTCTTGCCGAGGGACCGGCGCTTCTTGCGCGTGTCCTCCAGGTCGATCGACCGAAGCTTTTTTGCGAAGCCAGCGCCAGAACATCTCTACTGGGTTTATGTTGGGGCTCTTGGGAAACCGCTCTAAAGATCAATGGTCTTCGTCATGCAAGTCGCCATGCTGATCTTGGCTCTCAGAAGGTTTTTGGTTGTCGCAGAGGGTGGTTCATAGGTCTTTCTTTGTCGTGGGGTTCACCGCTTGGGACCAATCTTCCTTGTTCGTCCATTGGCTGTCTGGATGCCAGAGCACTGCGGCGAAGACTTCCTGGGAGACGCCGCCCCATAGACGAGTCGTTCTCGATAGCCGCCTTGAGCCGGAACTGACATCTGGGCCATAGCAATTTGATGACATCTTTTGGCACGACAGAAGGAGAGGGAGGCAACCACCCCCAGTCGCTCACTGATCGCCGATAGTGGTCTGATAGTTCACCCCGCCCAGGATGTGCGAATCCCCTATCGGGGACCACTACCTATCGGCGATGTATCGCCGACTCCAGGTCGATGTTCCCCCCCTATGCCAATCCCCCTCCATCGTTGCCATTCATTAAAAGCTGAGACCGACGATCAACGCAGAGACGATTCTGGAATGACCTCGAAAAGGGGCAAGACTTCTGTTGCAAAGGCCTTCGAGTGGGCCTGTTTTGGCCTCTTGGGAGATCATCGACGCCACGGCTGGATGCAACCCGAAATTCTGATCAAAGCGCACCCTGGGAGAGGTTCGGGGAGGGGAGTAGTTCGGTAGCAAAGTGTGGGGGTGCACTCGCGTGCGCTGGCGTCTGGTACTCGATGAGAAAGCTCAGATTTAGCGTTGATTAGCGCTGTGTTAGCGTCGATGGGCGTCGATATAGCATGCGAGGCTCCCGTGAATAGCCACCGGGCAGTACCGGTATCGGTGTCTTCTTTGGTTTCCCCAGGACCCACGCGTGCGCGAACGTCTGCTCGTGGGGCCCGCGTGCGCCGCGGAGGACTGGCCAGCCCAGGTGTGTGTGTGTGTGTGTGTGCTCTGCCTGGTGCACATCTGTGTTTTTCCATCACTGTGTTCGTCCCGGGGCTCGCACCCTTTTTTTGTTATCTTGGGAACAACGACTCCCGCCTGATATTTCCTCACCATATTTTTCAATTCGCGCTCTCGCGCGGGACTTCGTCATAATTTATGCAGCATTGCGCTCTCGCGTGATACTCCCTCAGCTTACTGCGGCGCTGTGCCCCCAAGACTCAGGAATCACGCTGTCGCACTGGATTTCTTCACGATGTCTTTGTCAATCGTGCTATCGCTAGAATCTTCCTTCACGACGGATTGGCGTGGATCCGCCCGCCCGACCTGTCCGTTAGGGCCCGCCCGCCCGACCTACCCGTCTGGGTCTGTCTTTGATGTTCCTGCTCCTAACCCTCCTCCTGCACATTTCTCTGGTGCTCCATCCTTTCCCACTCCGTTGTCTTGTCCCTCTTCTCTTCCTTGCCCTGTGTCAGGGGCTGCGCCAACTGCACGCGGCAGGTATGGAAGATATACTCCCAAGGGGGGTACTATCGACGACGAAGAGGGCACGTATCGAGGATTTTGAATATTCGTGTTGATTGACACGCGAGCAGATCAGAGCGAACAGTCTTGAACTGATTGTTGTTGTTGTTGTTGTTGTTGTTGTTGTTGTTGTTGTTGTTGTTGTTGTTGTTGTTGTTGTTGTTGTTGTTGTTGTTGTTGTTGTTGTTGTTGTTGTTGTTGTTGTTGTTGTTGTTGTTGTTCGCGAGGACACTACTGGAGGCCCGTTGCTCGACCCCCCCCCCGCCCCCCCCCGAGCAACACCACGGGGCCACGCACGGGCCCTGCAGGGCCCCTGGTCCGAGCAACGCCACGAGGCCTCGCCAGGCCGCTGCGGGGGGGTCTGCAGGGCCCGGCGGCGTTGCTCGGCAGGTCCTTTCGGGACTGCTGCGGAGCCCCATACAGGCCCCAAAGGGCGCACCCCTCTCACGGATCGTGGCCCTGGCCCCACAGGGAGCTCCACCGAGTTTTGATTTCGCCACACCCCTCTCGAGGATCGTGGCTCAGGGAGCTCCACCGAAGCTTGGTTTCGGCGCACCCCTCTCACGGATCGCTGCCCTGGCCCCACAGGCAGCTCCACCGAGGCTCCATTTCGGCACACCCCTCTCGAGGATCGTGGCCCTGGCCCCACAGGCAGCTCCACCGAGGCTCCATTTCGGCACACCCCTCTCACGGATCGTGGCCCTGGCCCCACAGGGAGCTCCACCGAAGCTCGACTTCGGCACATTTCTCTCGAGGATCGGGGCCCTGGCCCCACAGGGAGCTCCACCGAAGCTTGGTTTCGGCGCACCCCTCTCACGGATCGTGGCCCTGGCCCCACAGGGAGCTCCACCGAGGCTTCATTTCGGTACACCCCTCTCGAGGATCGTGGCCCTGGCCCCGCAGGCAGCGCCACCGAGGCTTCACTTCGGCACACCCCTCTCGAGGATCGTAGCTCTGGCCCTACAAGGGGCTCCACAGAGGCTGCACTTCGGCACACCCCTCTCGAGGATCGTGAATTTGGTCCCACAGGGAGCTCCACCGAAACTTGATTTCGGCCCACCCCTCTCGCGGATCGTGGCCCTGGCCCCACAGGGAACCCCACCGAGGCTTCATTTCGGCACACCCCTCTCGAGGATCGTAGCCCTGGCCCCACAGGGAGTTCCACCGAGGCTCGATTTCGGTACACCCCTCTCACGGATCGTGGCTCAGGGAGCTCCACCGAAGGTGGATTTCGGCGCACCCCTCTCACGGATCGTGGCCCTGGCCCCACAGGGAGCTCCACCGAGGCTCGATTTCGGCACACCCCTCGAGGATCGGGGCCCTGGCCCCACAGGGAGCTCCACCGAAGCTTGGTTTCGGTGCACCCCTCTCACGGATCGTGGCCCTGGCCCCACAGGGAGCTCCACCGAGGCTTCACTTCGGCACACCCCTCTCGAGGATCGTGGCTCTGGCCCCACAGGGAGCTCCACCGAATGTGGATTTCGGCGCAAGCCCTCTCGAGGATCGCGGCCCTGGCCCCACAGGGGCCTCCACCGAGGCTTCACTTCGGCACCCCCCTCTCGAGGATCGTGGCCCTGGCCCCACAGGCAGCTCCACCGAGGCTCCATTTCGGCACACCCCTGTCGAGGATCGTGGCCCTGGCCCCACAGGGAGCTCCACCGAAGCTCGACTTCGGCAAATTCCTCTCGAGGATCGTAGCCCTGGCCCCACAGGGAGCTCCACCGAAGCTTGATTTCGGCGCACCCTTCTCACGGATCGTGGCCCTGGCCCCACAGGGAGCTCCACCGAGGCTTCATTTCGGTACACCCCTCTCGAGGATCGTGGCCCTGGCTCAACAGGGAGCTCCACCGAGGCTTCATTTTGGCACACCCCTCTCGAGGATCGTAGCTCTGGCCCTACAAGGGGCTCCACAGAGGCTGCACTTCGGCACACCCCTTCTCGAGGATCGTGGCCCTGGTCCCACAGGGAGCTCCACCGAAACTTGATTTCGGCGCACCCCTCTCACGGATCGTGGCCCTGGCCCCACAGGGAACCCCACCGAGGCTTCATTTCGGCACACCCCTCTCGAGGATCGTAGCCCTGGCCCCACAGGGAGCTCCACCGAGGCTTGATTTCGGCACACCCCTGTCACGGATCGTGGCTCAGGGAGCTCCACCGAAGGTGGATTCCATAGGAACCCTAGAGGATCCTCGTGGATTCTTACAGGGTCCTGCACGATTCCGTGGGAGTGCGAACAGGAGGAGGAGCT